TCTAAGACGCCTCGATATGACAGTAATAGCTTCTGCAAAAGCTATGACTGTGACAGATCACAAAATGCTGATAAAGCTCTGGCGGTTCTCAAGAATTTCTAGAACGTACTAGAGTTCTCTTAAATCTTCTGTGGCGACCTGCAAGAGCAGTGGAGCTCCTACTCTGGGTGACAAATAGCAAGCCTGAACCCACACTCCTACACCCCAAGCATTGATGTTCATTCAGGTGCTTCTTCAAGCTTAACCCGAACGAATCTTGCTTTGAAATCCTGCACAATCCTACGCAAGTCCTGCACATCTCCCCATTGCGGTATCAGGACTCATCATATGAGTGATCAGGAACTTTAGGATTCAAGGCGTCCTGTGGCGAGACACCCCTCCTACCCACAAGAGCAGCCAAACCTCTGTGTGTAAAGACTAATAAACACAAGTGTGAAAACTATGCGATCCTCGCGACACACGGTCTCATTCCTCGCAGCGCATTAGCAGAGTACCATAAAAGCCTGTCTGTGCATGGAAGCCCTCCACCGCAGACACAGGTTCAAAAACCCTCTAAGTCTTTGAGTTAGAGTTCTAGCCTCCAACACCTAAGCCCAACACCTAAACCTGAACCCTCAAACGCCAGCACTCAACCCTGCCAGAGTCCATAAGAATCCGACCGATGGCCATCAATGAGCAGCAGAAGCACACCCAACCTCCCGGAAAACAGTTCAGGTGTATGGTATAAGGCCTAGGATCCAGGTTTGGGGTTTCAGGTGTCGAGTTTGAGGTTTTGTGTGGGACTATTAAGTTTTGAGTTAAACCATGTTAAAGTATGACGGCAAGTTAGGTTTAAGGATACGGAGGGTGTACAATCACACGTCCACAAAGTTGGCATGCGAAAAATGCGGTGGATGAAGGAAGTCTTGCACCACCCGACATACCCCATGGTGTTTTAGTGTAGGGGCCATCTACGATGGGCTTTCAATTTAGGGGCCAGAACTGGATGCAGATCATCCCCACCAAATCAATCCCCAGGGCCCTCAGAGCTGCAAGAAATCAGAGGGCCGGTTGCAGGTGCGTAATTTCTGTCCTTGTGTGGATGTATTATTAAACATAATGGGGGGGGTCCCAGTGATGCAGATGTCGTCCTATGACTGCTAAATAAATGCTTCAACAGGCAAAGCTACCTATCGTATTCTCCTGCCGCATATGCATCGGGACCAGAGGCTCAGCAGCTAGAGCGTGTGTGAGCTCTTCCCAAGCTGCCAATACTTGACTGCGGGTTCTTGTTTTGTCCTTGGGTCACATTTGGAGAGAGTGTCCTAGTGTTGGGCTTCTACCAAAGTTTCATGTGGCAGGCTTGCAGAGCAATTTCAAAAGCCATGTGCTGCACAGAGATCTGTACCCTGTCTTTTTTAATTAGAACCCACAAGAAGATCTCATGATTTCATAGGTTGCATCTTTTGGAAAGAAAAGCTGAAAGAATGAGAGCGACAGCCACCTCTGTTATGGCCTTGGCCATGCAACGAGTCTTCTCGCAGGTTTGATAGCATGTTGGCGCCGGCTGTGCACAAGGACTATGCCTCATCATTCCACGACAACAAATGATGTATTGCTACAACCTGCGTGAGAACCCTAAACCGTTTCAGCTTGGAGCGCTTGCATGTTGGGAAGGTTGCCAAAAGAGGAGGGCCATCAGTTCAGTTTCAAATGTAGCTAGGTCCTCTCACTTTGACCTATGGAGTTCAGCCTCAGTTTAACGTGAGGCTACCAGCAGCAGGCTTAGTTCAGGTTCTTGTGTCGCTGAAGAACTGGATGCAAGGCTGCTCACAACTGGGGTACCATAAATCCTCAAATCAACATAGTCCTCTGCACAGGACCCAATGCATAGAAGCTCTGAAGCCTAAGCTCCAACATGAGCCTTACATTCTAGAACGGTGCTGCGCAGTTGAATTGCTGCTCGTACTCACATGTACAGCTGCCCTGAAACCATAAGGCTTGAACCTTCAAGCACTCCCTACATCCAAGACGAAGCAGTTGGTGGCCTCCACAATAATCAGTCGGAGGGATGAATGCAAAGATGATCTTCCACGGCCTTTGAGTTCGGCTGGGAGGGGGGGCTTCAGGGTTGAAGGTGCAGAAGCTTGAGGAGCTAGGAATTTTTAGTTTAGGGTTTGTAACGGTTCAGGCTTGCACGCGTCTCAGCGAGTGTAATTCATGGCTTAGAGTCTCAAACGGTCAGGATGTCCCAGTCTGGAAGCCTGAAGAATCAAAGAATTTGGGAACTACTTTCATGGGGTATATAGGGATTATAGGGTATATATTGGGGTTATTGGGGTTGTATAGGCATAATGGAAAATGAATGGAAACTACTATAATGGGTTATATTAGGGTTATATCATTGGTGCTGTTCCATGGCAATTTGTTGAATCATCACGCGCGCGGCTCTCAGTCACATGATATCACAGCCGTCTTTATAGGTTACAGAGTTGGACACCTGCATAGCGGCGCACGTATAGTCCACATAGCAGCAATGCAACTGGGGTAGCCATGAGCACTGATTGGGCTAGAAGCCATGTGCCAGCATTTTACTACACCTCCCACCCTCCAGGTGTTGTCCATAAACCCTTTTCCCTTTGCCTTTTCCCTAGACAAGCTCAAACCCTAGACCCTAGCAGAAAACCGATCTGGGGATTCGGGGCACTCTGCTTGGGGCATTGCGTATGGGAAGCTGCCATATGGAGGGCCCTGACCAACATCTGACGATTCATGCTAGCCGTAGACCCTAAACCCTAGTGGCTACTTGGCTTTAGGATGGGACCTTGGAAACAAATCCCACAAGAGGGAAGCCTACAATTGCAACCTTGCACAACTGAGCACCACCTGGGCGACGGAAGGCTCGCAATTAGTCGAGAATGGGAGTTGAGGGATTTGGCGCATAGGGTTCCACGAGTCCATGGTCTTCAGGCTTGGATTTTCGGAGCAGTGCTGTACGGGTTGAAAGGCCCAGGGGCTTTCTGGGGCAATGTTGGGTTTAAAGCCATGGGATGCAACTTCGGGGAGGGGGAAGTTGGGACGCAATGCCTCCTACAAGAGTGAAATCTGCTTCTTCAGGTGGGCCTCGGTCCCCAACTTCTGGGCTGTTACACGGTCCATCTGGATGTACGTGTTTTGGCCATCTCTGGATAAGGTAATTCAGCATATCCTCAAGATGACTTGAAGATAGCCTTTCGAGAGCTACTTTCAACCCAAACTTCCTGTGAAAACATAGCTCGTAGAAAGCCATTTGAACTCATCCGGGCACCAAACAGCTGCACGATATGGAACCCCTCAGCGGCGCTGCCATAGATGTGTCCAGGATTTAGGTGGAGATTGGGTTAAGGGCTAATTCTGACTGGCACTGCCGCTTTTACTGTGACTTGGCTTCGGGGATTCATATTTCATATGTCTCCTGCCCTGCGCAAGGAGACGAAGGTCGTTTCCAAGGACAAATAAAGTGCTAAACTCTCTCTACAGACGCAGTCTTCACTCACCTCTATACACTCCCACTCCCTGCCTATGGCACAAGCAAAGCTTCCATTCGGTATCTCGTTATCACATCAGGGAGGGTCTTGCTCGAGAGAAAGGATTAGATCGGAATCTGTGTGTGGAACCCTGCTAGTGTGCGTTTCCACCTATGCGGGTATAAAATCGTCGTAGGGTCACGGTCAAGATTCACTTGTAAACCCTTCCCTAGACCGTACAACCTGCCTTCCAACTCTGTAAGATTCTTGTGGCTACTGCTGTGCCAGAAAAAGCATGCTTAAAGATCAATCTCAGTTGAGATACCTGCATAACCTCGTCCCAAGCGGTTCTGATTGGTGTTGCTATAATTGCGCCGCCCAACGGACCGAGAGGCCACCATAAACTAATCAAAACCACTGTGAATGATTCTGCCTGCTCCAAGAAGAAATCTCAAGGAGACATGCGGAATCGTTGAAGTCTTTCGACATGTCATATGTAGCATTGCATAAACAGAAACGAGCAGGATATAACTCACGCCCCACGCACAAGAATTCCAAATTGTCTGCGTGAGCCTGGTGTGAAGAATCTGACCCTGAAGCCGCAATCCTTGACCCTCAACCTCTACCGTTCCGTCATACCTGTTCCAAAGGATGAACTTTGTGTACAAGGCGCCATTTCCTGGGGTCAGGAGGCGATGGTGCCCCAGTTATTCTTGGCTTCCGGCCCATGCGGACACGATCTGCCCGCGTGATCGTTGATCTGCCTTGCGTGCAGCACACAGGCGTTCAGAAGCTGTTGTCTCGAGTAGAAGTCTCCAAATCCTTGTGCTGTGTGCTTAAACTTAACAGCCACGCCAGACATGTTGTGATTGCCCGGGTCCCCCATTCGTATATGCCTCACAGGGACACTTGGTAGGCTGGTAGGGATCCAGCACGGCCTAAAGCGATGGTGTGGGAATCCTTCCGGTAATCGTGTGAGTGCTTGGAGTTTAAAAAAAACAAGGGTCCCTCCTTGAGCATCTATGGAATACGCGTGCACGGCAAACTTGAGAAATAAACCATAAGAAGCCCTACCGCAGACAGCACGATACGGACTACCAGAATCTCACCACCATCCTACCATCCTCAGACATGCCCAGGGTGAGCAAGGGTGACCCCCAATTACCCTTCATTTCTGAATCACGAGCTGTTGCTTAAGTAGGTTTGTAGGGAAGAATTCTGAGGAGATTCTACGTCTCCGGCCCAAGGTCTCCCTAGGCTCCTGGCTAGTCTGGGTAGGTTTTGATGGAGTTCACGTTTAGAAGTTCGCTCACGTTTCGAACTGTTCTTGATTCTCCTTGTCCAATGGCTCCAAAGAAAGCCTACATGGTTTTCAGGAACCCTCAAGGACAGCGCCCGCCCAGATCAAAAGGCTATGCCTTCGATCCTGATCCTGATGCTGGACAGCACCCTACACCCGAAACCTATCTTTGATGAGGACTGACAGACAGAGCTCTGAGCTCTATGGGCCAAACCCTAGTCTCCACTGTGCCCTCTGCATGTTGTGGACTGCGTGCTGGAGTTCACAACAACAATGAAGAGGTCCATCCTTAGACTCTTACACGTGCACACAGCCCCTCCTCAAAGGCACCTCCACCCTTACGCGACAGCGACCCTGCAAGAATTCTGCACATTCCTCAAGAATGCTGCTCCCACAGACACGGCAGTTTTGAGAGCACCTCACCTAGCCACATCTGGAGTGATGGGGCCTCCTCTGCCTCATCATCGTCGTCGCCGTATACGTTGAAAATGGCGTCCTACAAAAGACTGCTTATGGCTCCCTTCAGAAAGTCTTCAAGCGATGCGTAGGACTTTCCGCTATCCGGACCCAAGGACCCAAAGCCCAGACCATGGCCTGACACTCTTTAAGCGACCGACGAAACATCAAAGAGCGTCTCGGCGGCGCGAAGATGCGCGCAACATTACTGAAGTACCACAAACAAGTTTTCTTTGGGCTTTGCAAGCAGGATCTCGCTTCCGACGCATAGTGGCATCCTGATATGCCCTGCCCACGGACTCCTTGTTAGATCAGTGAGACAATGAGTCATCCCCCCTCCATCCTCAAGACAAAACCCTGACCATCCCCTTTAAATCGATCTCCAGGGTCCTCCTTAATTAGGACGCCTAATTAAACTTTCTGAAAGCCCTCTATAACCTGAACACCATGATTCCAATTCCCACATACCAATTTCTAACTCATACCTATGTCCTATGCTACCTCGTTATCGTTCTGACGTCGCCGGCCGCTAGGGTTGTTGCTCTTCATGGCTCAGTGTCTTGTTCTGCTTCCTGCTTGGGACCTAGGAGTCCCACATCCTGCGCATGTCTAGAATGTTCTTCAATCATGAAGTCGACTCGCCTTATGGTGATGCCGGATCGACATCCAACACCAGGTTCAGCCCTTGCTTGGACAGCTTGTCGTCAACTTTGACGGCTGTCCAAATAATCCAGAATGATTCCTTCTCAGGCTCCTGTAGAGATCGAACAGCGCTGCGAGAAACAATAGACCGCTCGCCTACGAAAACAACAAGTTTGAAACACAGAATGATTCCCAACAACGTGGCGCCAACATTTTGGTCAGCGTGTGCCTCAGCTGCTGCGTTTCAAGATTCAAAGCTTTGGTGCCCATTGCAGTGTGGAAAGCTTGATTGCATCCTGTGGGGACTTAGTGCCTTCGTTTCTGAGGGCGGTATACTGCATGAATCTGAATGACAGGTAAACAACGGACTTTGGCATACGCTCGTCTAGAAAGTCATGCCATATGCACAACCCTCCAAAAACCACTCCAAAACCATCCAAAAAACCATCCAAAGAATCTCCAAAACCACCCAGAAAACAATCCAAAACCAACCCAGGCTGTCCTTAAACTGGTTGCCCCAATTGACGTTTCCAGTCTTGGCCCTGTCCTAGGGCGAGCAATGGGCTTACAGTCCCCCTGAAGTAAGATCCCCATAGACCCCCATATTCTATCTACTTGAGGGGAACTATACGGTTCTGGATTCAAGGACTAATGGTGCGGGCTTGAAAGGTTTGGGTGTTGAGGGTCGTAGAATTTCTGTCGTCTCTGGAACGGGTCTGATGTCTGATGGATTCTAGAATTCCAGGGTCTGGTCTACGGGGCATTTTTTCCACGGAGTTTAGGGGCTCCAGGTGGTCTCCAGGGCTTTGTTGTGTCGAGGTAGCAATCCCAGTCTTTTCTTGAATTGAGCAGAATACAAATTCCAAAGGCACTCTTACTCTTTGTGTGCTTCTCTGAGTCTGGGATCTAAGTATGTTCTTGAAGGATGCGTAGTCCACTTACGCAAACCACATTGAGACGACTCTCTTAAATCATCAACTCCTATAGCCTAAGCCGAAGACTCCCTAACCCTCCCACGTTCAAGGATAGTTTGGAACTTCAAGGAAACAATCCCAAACTAATTTCCGGTTGTTTGGAGGTTCTGGAAAACGATGCTTGTGCAAGCTCCTGGATCGAACTGGGCATTACCCAATTTTTTGCGTTCTCTTCGTGATGATTGGTCTATGGAACCTGTAAACAAGGATTGATTCGATGCCAATATGCAGTGGCAGAAAAGCATGGGTGGCCTGGGTGCTGCAATCGGAATCTATTTACGAAGGCGGGCAATTCGTGGAGACTTGGGTGTGGTAGCAGGCATACCTACTTGCTTCCTGATCAGCGGTGGCCTCAAACAGTGTGGGTGTTGTCTGACTCCATTACCGGACAGTTCATGATGACAAGGACCCAATCGGGCACAGGCGTGAGGACACGAAAGCAGCAGAGCTTCTGATTTCACATCCACCCGAAACCCCTACATAGCCCTCAGCTCCAACACCCTTGACTCTCAATCTGCAGGCTCTCAGGAGCGTACCCAACGTACAGCAAGGGTACTTTTGATCTTGTCGATGGGGTCACGAATGACCTGGATTATGACGTAGCTGCAGGGTTGAGGGTTGAGCCGTGACATGCGTAAGGGAACACTAGTCTTCTTGTTCGACGAGAGCAGATCGGATCTGCGGCGGGAATCTACTCTACTCGGGGATTGTGCTGTGCATCGGTTTCAAACTGATTTTTTTAGACTGATTAGAACTTGCTGGGGTGTCTCAACGTTGTGCTAGCTGCTAGCAAGGATCCTTGCATGGGTGGTCCTTGAGGCATCACCTGTGCATGTACATTGAGATCGTGCAGTTCGGCCTCAGTATTGACATTTCGAGGCTACGATGACAGCTTGTGGAGTGGCCTTTGTGAGTTTTCACTGTTTGAAGACAGCATTGGCTTTGGAGCTTACGGTCAGACGGGCCATACCTGCCCTGGGCAGCACATGTAGTTGCGTTGGAAGCACTGACAAGCATACCTCTTTCCTGAATGAAGGCTTCCTAGAGTTCAGGCTTAGGCCACTCCTTTGCAGGGGATTAGCTGCAAGGCAATTTTTCCCTGAACCAACTTCTTTTGGTTTCTAGATTTCTATGAAGACATACAGGCAAGACCAGAGAAAGTATACCCTGTACCCATGGGGATTGCTTGGAGACGGGCTTGAAGACAGCAATTCCTCGGATCAGCGACTCAAGACCATCTCCAAGGCAAAGGCCACATCGGAGCGAATGAAAACGGTCAAGATACAGTTCTCATCACCTTCCAAGGCTGCTCACTTTTTGGGTGAGGGGTTCTCATAGAGGCGAAAACGAACACATGTAGCTGGAACCCCAAACGCTGGGGGAAACAATGGGGAGAACTGTAGTGGGCTCTACTGATTATGAAGTTTGAACTTGCACATGATCAGAATACAGGAGAGCTGCAAACTCGGCTCTCGTGACAACTCGCATCAGGAAATAGTGATGTACTAGGCATCCAACAACAGCAAGTAAAACAAGCAAGTAACAAGGGCGCTGCAACCATGCTGGAAAACAATCAAACTGTCCAGGCAATGGACAACCAGTATCTCAGGTGATTGGGACTCTCCTGAAGAAATCAGGTCTGAGTCAGTGACTCGAAATCTCAAAGTCAAAGTCGAAGCACTGAACTCCAAAGACAGAATCCAAGCAAAAAGACCTAGACCCTCAGAGCCTAAGTTTAAGCCTTGAACCAAAGTCATCCAACTCGCAAAATGCAATGCAGGAGGCCTCCATCCGTAGATTCGTCGAACCTTGCACCACCCTCAGGCTCCTTTTTGGTTTAGGGCCCAGGCTTCAGCGAGTGGGTTGCCATAAGGTGCAACGTTAATTGAAGCAGTTCTAACTTTGGGCACAGAACCCTCTCCTGGCGCTTCGCCCTTAAACTTGCCTCAACATACAGTCACTGGTCTGAAGCAGGACATACCCATGAATTCTGATAAATATCCATACCAGCTGCTATGAACCAGGCAAACGCTCCACCCGAGCCACTTACAGTAGCAAGGTCATGGCAAGCCTACAAGGGCCAAAACTCCCAGGCTCTTTTGTTACACTGAGCTGATGACAGCTCACACAAGTTAGCATCCTGGAGGACCCAATGGGCGAAGCCAAAGGTTGCACCTTCAAAGCCTGAACTGCTGCAATGCTCTGTAAAGGGGCGCCGGATGGCTTGGCCCAACAGTATAGATATGAGCTACACAGTCCATATTTCCAATATAATTCATGGGCACGGGTTCCTACTAAGGAATACATTAGGGACTATTGACAGTAAATCATGTGATGCTAATGACTACCAACTAGGGGGCAAGATGATGCAACTGCAACCACATCGTTAGTACCTGCACACCCGCATCCTTGAATCCTACAACGTTGCACTTTGAAGCCTTAACACCTAGCCCGTCCCCACCCCAATGACTTGCAAACTCTGAACCCTATGCCGTAAGTCCTTGACGTTAATTCAAACCCTCAGTTAGCACTGATCTCTGTCCTCCAAAAGGACGCGGAACCTTGGCGAAGCACCCAAGAATAGAATGAGGGCTTCTCGAAGCAAGGACTCCCGGTTTGGGAGGCTCCCCAGGTATGTTCAAACTATGGGAGGGATAGAGGGGAGGGGATGCTAGGAGTTGCAATTCAGAAGTGTACCAGGAATGCTTTCAGACGCTGCGCTGTCATTATGCCTGGGATTTGATAGAAGCAAAAGGAACCGGGCCTAGGCAGCCTTTTTTTTGCACTGCATATGCAGAGCTTGGATCCGCAGCACCAAAGGTGCCCTAACACCTAACACGCTTCTCCCGGGTCTATCTCTTTAACCTTCAGCTTTGAATGCCCGCACGGGCCCACTAAGAGGAAGTGGACTCAGAAGCGGCCAGCTTGGAACTGTCCCAGAAATGTGGGAAAAAAAGGTGAAACTTAATGCAGGACATGTCTTTTGTCAGGCCAGAGGAACCTTTGCCCATTTGAGGTGCAGCATGCCTGCTAAGGCATTGCCATTGCAAGCTTTTGCACAGCTAAGTTTCGCTTCTTCAACCATGTTTGGGCCTGATCTGGTTCCTCTGGCCAAGACCTTCTGGAGTCTCTCAAAATCTGGAGCCCTTGGGGACGCCTGGAATATGGAGGCGTCATAACCCTTAACCCTAAACCCTAACTAGTAGTAGTTATGGGGTCCCGAGCAATTCAATAGGGATCCTTTTGAGAAACTCTCATGTTTCATTGGCCTATACTACTCCGGCAACCAGTCGCTGAGCCTTCTCAACTCTAAACCAGAACTCGTATGAAACCCACTACCAAGGACCCACTTGGAGTCATCCTTCTTTTGCAGATTCAGGGATGCCAGTGACACCTTCCACACATCTCCAATGAAAATAATTCACTCCACCGGGGCTGTGGGCTTCAGATCTTCGTAAGTGGGTCTGGCATGAGTCCTTCAGGGGTTGAAGGAATCGCAGCCTTACTTACAGGGGACCTCAAGACTACTGTCTCCAGTCTGTATGACTAAGCCTGAGATTTGATAGGACTCCGCAACAACATCACCGTTGGCTTTCCTTAGCCAAGCCCCACGCGCCCGGAAGGTATTGGGCAGCTCTCAATTCTTCGAGACCCTAATCCCTCTCACCCCCTCTATATAACACCAGCTTCCATATTGCTTTCCCTTTTATTGTACATTTGGTTCTCCACTGTTGGGGTGATGTCCCTAAATCTTATACCAATGTATATCCATATATCCCGTATATTTGTTGTGATAAAGCACAGTTTTCTTGCTTTTGCCCTCAACCCTACGTGTCCCCATATATCCCTACATATCCTCTTTGTGAGCTCACTTGACTCGTATGCCGGTCTTCCATTCACCTTTGGTGACTTTGCCATCAACGCACAGACTTCCTGCAGGCTGCACAAATTGAGTTTCCGGAAATAGGGGGTACCTTGTTGGGGGTCCCCATGATCTGGATTAGTGCATATAGGGGTGTAGAAATTCCTAGACTGGAGCTTTAGCTTTTTGCTATTGTTGGTTCATATATTAATATTGCATCATGGGTTGACACCAGCTTTAACAAAACTCAAGTCTTTACATTTCCATTGTTGGTTCTCTTGCTGGACACAATCTTGCGTGTACCGCTTACTCGAACATCTTAGACACCAGCAAAACAAAGCCTTTCTGTAAACGATGAACCATGAACCCGAAACCCAGAAACTGTTGAATCGACGTTGTCATGACTGCCTGAAGAGAAGTACACGTAGCATTCAGGCGGCGTGGGGATTTCCACAAATTCATCGGCCGATTTGGCATACAGACTAGACACCTACAATGTGGGGGTACAGGAATTGAACCCTGATTTGAGACAGAGGTAGAGTTAACAGTTAACCACAAAAACCCGCAAGTGTTGACTTAGAATTCCTGCATCTTGCACCGTCAGGTACCGTGCCCTGTCTGAAGCAACAACAAGATTCCACAAGGCTCAAGAAACACTTGTACCTGCTGCCTTGTCCTTAAGTGCTGCCTGTATGCGTTCTGAAGACCCAAGGCTTACGCTTTCCAGCGGCTGGCTCCCTTTCCTCAGCGTCTTATTCGCAACTTGCTGGCCCAGTCCCTAACCGCTGAACCAGAAATCCGGGAAATCGTCTGAGTTTTTATATGGTTAGCGTCAAGCAAGGTGTTGTCCAAGAATAGTAGGTGCTTTGCCCATCAGCAGTTCAAAGACTGCATGCCTCTTTGGACATTCTGAGGTAGCAGCCAAACACTTTGCGGGGCCCATAGATCGTGCAACTTGGTTCGCCCCTGTTGCACTTGCGTAGTGCCCCATTTACACGCAGGTCAATTCTCCAACCCCGGAAGATCCTCAAAGCAAGGCGCCAGTGTTGGGAGCAACCCGGTCCTTCACCGTGCTGTTTGCCCAACTGCCACTCACCTGTCAAAGGGACCCATAAAATCCTGTAAAGTCACTCTAATCTATCTGGGGAATAAGTTGCAGCCAGGTGTTCAATGGTCAGCGCTTGGGCACTGGAGTTCAGGAATGATCCTATTACACCGTAGGCTGAGGAAATGTTGAGCTCTCTCCAAGACATCGACTGATGCTCAAGGGTGCCCTTGATGTCGGGAGGGTTCTTGGTTCAAGCCTTGTTCATCTTATGTTGGGATCCAATGTTGGTAAGCATAGTTTGCTTTCTGTGGGATGTCTTGGAGACCCCACCTTTCTTTACCACACGAGCAGCCGAGCTATGCAGTGGCCATGTATTTGGCAACCAGAACTGGCGAAAACAGCCGTTATAGCCGGCAGAATATGGTAGCTGATGAACATTCTGTTCCCCAAATAGCAATTCTGGAAAATACATCCTCTCTATTTTCACTTATGGACCAACAGGAAGCCTAAATAATTTTGCCAGAGGACCTTCAGATCAACCCCAACATACATAAGCACTAGGTGAAGCTCAACATCAACCAATGCCATGCACATCAAAGCAATGACTTCAACGCCCAATTGTTTCCAAATTAGGTCTTGACATGGCCTAAGAACAATTTCTACTTGCATCCAGCAAT